GAATACGGTTGGCCTTCTGTTGGCAAGCATACATTGCCTGCTCATGTTGAGTCTTTCATCAACCAATACTCCCAAATTCTTCTCCTCAGTGCTGCTCTCAAGCCATTTTCTGCCCAGCCTGTATCTGTGATTGATATTGCGCTGATTCAGGTGCAGGACCTTGCACTTGGCCTTGTTAAACTTCATGAGGTTGGCATGGGCCCACTTCCCAAGCCTGTCCAGGTCCCTCTGGATAGCATTCCCCTCTAGCATGTCAACTATGTTACTCAACTTGGTATTGTCTGCAAACTTAATGAGAGTGCATTCAATCCTCCTGTCTGTGTCGCCTACAAAGATATTCAATAACACTGGTCCCAGCAATGATCTCTGAGGAACGCCACTTGTTGCTGGTCTCAACTTGGACACTGAGCCATTGATCACAACACTCTGAGTGCAAGCACCTAGCCAACTCCTTATCCACTGAGCGGTCCATCCATCAAATCTATTTTTCTCCAGTTTGGTGATTGAGATACCATGCAGGACAGCGTCAGATACTTTGCACAAGTCCAGATAGCTGGTTGTTCTTCCTTTATCCAGTGATTCTGTAACTCCATCATAAAAGGCCACCAAGTTTGTTGACATGACCTACCCTTGGTGAAGCCATGTTGGTTACCACCAATCACCTCACCTATATTTTCCATGTGCTATATTTCCATTTCCTGCAGTAGTCAGATGGTTCTTTCCCAGGAATGACTGTAGAAATCAGGGCAAAACTGGATGTGAGCAGAGAGCCCAACAAACGAAAAACAGGTCTGGGTGATTCTGACTCTCCAAAGTTGGATTTGGTTTTGCCTCTTTACCTATTTGGCAGTCATTTCTGCTGCCTTGCCTTTTGTGCACAAAGCAGGTGTAAAAAAAGAGTATCAGTGGTGTATTTTCTTCTTAACAGGCTTTTCTGGATACATGCAAGTGTGACCATAAACTGGCAATTACAGAAAATATGCTTCAAGAGCCTGTCTTATTTGATCTTTTGAAGGAAGGGCTCATGCAGTGCCCCAGGAGGTCTTCATTTTCTTGTGCTCTCTTGGCCAGGCTTTGTTACCTGAACAGTTTACCTTGAGGAGTACCTTTGCATTCCCAATATCTTTGTTCCTGTGTACACACCTGGTTGTGTCTTCCTCTGCTTTGCATGCAGAGACTGACTCACAGCACAGCAGGCAGCTGGCAGGTGCTGAGAGCAGCGTGCTTAAATGGGTTCAGGTTTTTGCATGTGGCAGAGTTTTGAGGAAGGTAATGATGCAAAGTGACCTTTTATGTTTTGTTTCTTGTCAGCTTTGTAAATAAACGGGAGTTTTCAGGAGAGCTTTCTGCTTAGTGTTGTTTCCAATTGCAATAAAGATACTGATTGCTGAGAGACTGTTGAAATCTAGATTTCTAGTTTACCTACTTACCAAAGGGTAAATAAGGATGGAATTTAGTGACTTCTGATGGAGCTATAAGCTTTTTGCTTTCTTTTAAAAAAAAGAAAGTCCACATTTGTTGTCCAGTTTATGAACAAAGAAATCCCACTTTATTATTTCTTTTTTAGACACTATGAGTTGTTAAGCTAAACTGTAGCTAAAGGAGACAACATTGGAGTTGAGAATGATTCGTACTATTCTGTTCTATACACCAGATAATTTGTTTTATTCTCCCTTGAAAACTACTCTTGTTTCTCGAGGAAGCTTAGAGAAGTGCTGAGTATGATGGACCCAGAGATCAGCAGTTCTCAGAAAAGGAAAAACTCTAGGCTATAGATTTTTGAGTTCTGTAATATGGCTTAGAAGGTAAAACACTGATATTGGACACTGCTGAGTTGCTGGTAGCTGGGGGTCTGGATCTTGTTTACAGTAGCCTTGGGTGCTGAGAAAGAGACTCTCCAGTCATATCAGTCCAGCTTGGAAGGTGAGACCAGTGAAATATTAGTTCTGACATTCCCTGCTGTGGTTCAGCCTCCTGATTTTGGCTTAGGTGGTTAATCAGCTAAACACTTCCCAGGCAAGCAGGTAAGAAGCTCTGACTGTTGTCAAGTTGTAACTGTGCTTTAAATCAAGATCTTTTCTTTGTATTCCAGAAAAAGAGTCATGAGTTTGTAAAACCTATCCTTGAACCTAGTCAAGTCCCTCCCATAATCTCCGATCAGCTTTGTTGCAATTTAGTGAAGCACTTAAGTGATTGTGTTCAAGTTTGTTTGATTTAATCATACTCTGGAGAGATGTCTGCTGAAAAGAGCTGCTGTCTGAATTGGGGTCTTGGGAAACAGCCATGAAATGACAGAGCAGGTGCTGGGCTGTTCACATCTGCCACTGGTTGCAAACTATGGGAGCAGGAAAGTAATCTCTGTATCTTCAGAGAGCCCAGTAGATACTGGGAATATGCTAATGCATAAACAGTGTTGGAAAGAGAATGCAAAGCAGCTCTGAAAGGCTCATGCATTCAGTGGCCAATGCACAGCAGTCTCTGCTGGAGAGGTGGGTTGAGGGGTCCTGTTTGAGTGCGGATGCATCACCATTCCTTAAGAGTCTGCTCACCAAGTTCTCAGTGAACATGTTCTGTACACAGCTGCCTGAGCTGCGGATACTTTCTAAGGTTTGCTCTTCCATTTTGCAAATAGTGGAGACTTGCTGAGAGGTTGCATTTGACGCTCCATGGGGGACACAGTCCAGTTTCCAGTGTATGCCATATGACTGGATTGTTGTATGTTACTCTCTAAAGAAGGAAAATGGAGTCTGGCTCAAATGTAAAGATTGGGACAAACACATGTCACTTTCCACAAGGCAAAAGCCTGGGGCATTTGTTGTTCCTTCACCAATCTGGAGTTCTGCTTTTATGTGTCTTGCTCTTTGGCTGCAATGATCCTTAGAGACCTCCTTAGCAGCAAAATCCATAAAAAGCAATACTGCACAGGGCAGGTGTTCGTTTTCAGAAATTGTGACCTAATCTGATATTTGGGCCAGAGGGCAACGAGAGGCATTTCTAACACCTGAGGGCAGGCTGTGTTGTAAAAGGCTGTCCAGCCAACTGGGGGAAAATTCTATCTCTTTACCCTGTACTGAGAAATAGCTTTCTGTCTTCAAACTATCGGAGAACGCTTTAATAGTAATAGAGGAAAAAGGCCAAGTAAAAAATAATAACAATGCCTTAATTAAATCATTGGAAGTGTTGTGGCTTTTAATTTGAAGTACTGGGCAACCACAGGCAGTCAGTGCTGCTTTTCTGCTTATGTGGAAAAATGGACTGCTGGCTGCACAGTAGGAAAAATGTAAGCCCTTTGTGGGGTGCTTTTTTTTTTCTTTTTTTTTTTTTTTTTTTCCTTCAGAGTATCCTTACAATCTCTTACTAACTCACATCTGAATATTAACCAAGTTGCCTACAGAATGCCACAAAATTCCTTTCCTTCACCTTCACATGGCTCTTTGCCTTTGGGTTAGAGATTCTCGTACAGATTTGGATGAACAGACAGTGAGCACTCAAGAGTTGAAAATGTTTCATCACATTGCTATGGGTAGTGCAGGAAAGCCTTTAATGGTGGGAACCTCTCCAGCAGTGTGAGCAGCATGGGAGATGATTCCTCCTGATAGTCATATCTGTTCCATTGCTCTGAGGAACCTACTTCTATGGTACAGAGTGCCTGAAAGTCGTTAAATATGCAGCATCAGCATGAAACAAGTTTTACTAGTGTGTTTGACCTACTTGTGAATGATTCAAGCAGGCCAGATTTTCACAAAGCTGAATATTAAGAATCTTCAAATAGATTGTGCAATATATGGAAAGGAGTCAGTGGATCATAGGAGGAGCAGTGAAATATTTTCATGGGATTCCCATTGTGAATTCCATTGTGATAAACACACAAGACTAGCTTCAACTCTGTAGTCTTCCAAATTATTCTTGGTTTGGGTCAGACTTAAGACTACTTAAGTGCTAACGTTTCTGTTGAGCATGTCATAGCTATTATAGTATGTGATTTTCAGACTTCTTCGTACTTGATGTGCTACTTTTTGGTAATCATGTGCATCAACAGTTCTGCTACACATTAACATATTTCAAGGTTGTGTAGGAGTTATGTGCCAGAGGGAGTAAATCTAGCTATGTATATAAGGTAAATCACAAATGTGGATTATAAGTGCGAGAATCAGGGACATTCCATACCAAAATACTTTACTTGAGTCAAGTGCCCTATTTGAACAAATCCATTAGCTTATAGATATTGCAGGCTTTTATCCATTGTATGTATCATCTAATGAAGAGCTGAAATCAGATATTCTTATCCAAGTGATGCATATCCTTTATCTCAGAAGAAACCTGTCTCAACTATTTGATCTTTCCCCAGGCTTAATTCACCCTGCCTTTTTGTTGTAGGCTGGTTATCAACAACAGAATTGGGATCCCTGTTGTCAAACCTAGTAGCTTCTGTCCTTTAATGTAAAAGAGTAATTTTGTTAGCAGATAGCAGTCTAGGACATTGAAATAGAAAAGCTGCATATAGTTTATTTTCTGTTTTACACTTAAATTAAATACATTTATATCTGAATGGGAGGAAGTATTCACGTGTCTCTGAGGTTCAGAGGCTTTGGATAGTTATCCTGGTATATTTTTATGGGAAAGCCCATTTGGTGAAATCTTGTCCTCATTGCTGTCAATGGCCAAAACGTCTAACTGGGTTCAGCAGGAATTAGATGTGACTTTGAATTTCATGGTGACATGCAGGACTCTAGTTGTGTGGATTTTGCAAACTTTTGGGATTATTTAAGAATAAAAAATAAAATGATTCTGTTCCAGAAAATGAGTGTACTCTCAAACTCTTTTGTTGTTTTTTTTTCCTTGAACAATTTCTGCTCAAGACTTTTATCTTTCCGTAAGCAGATGTGGTTCTTAATCAGAGACTGCTCACTTGCTGGTAGAGTTAAGTAATTTTTATTAGCATATTAATGTATGATTAGCAGAGATAAGAATAATTACATCTCCTTTCTTTCCCTTTGCAGGCCCTCTACAATTCAATCAAGAATGAGAAGCTTGAATGGGCAGTGTAAGTATACTGCTTGGCATTTAGAAATTTAAAAAATAGTATCCGTGTAGTAATCTTTTTGTAATTCCTACTTCAGTATCTGAGTAGGCTCCAAAGCCTGTAGAAAATAGCCAGTGTATGCGCTCAGTTTGCTTTTCTGTTAATGAATGACCTGGCAATACTGCCTCATCTGTTTCTCCAGTGTGGAGAGAATTAGTGATAGGAGCCAACTGCGTTTGTAAGAAAAGAGGACATTTCATTTAGTAGGAAACTGCAGCCTGAAAAGAGTGAAATTAAATCCTCCATTGTCCAATGACTGCATAAATAAAACAGATGTTGATTTCACTCTTTATCTTCCAGTACATTGTGTCAGAACCACTGAATAGAAACACACGTCTTGGATTGAGTTTCCTGCTGTTGGTTTATTGTCTTGGTTTGTCTTCTGATTAAATATGGATAACCTGACAACAGTCTGATACGAAAGATGATAAATTGAGCAGTCTGATATCTGCTGATATTAGCTGCTTGTGACAGGCTAACACATGTTAATTGCTGAAATACTGTGGATAAGAAAGAGCTTCTATTTCTTACTACGTTAAATTGACATTCCTCTGTGATTAGGTTTTATGTGGTGTGGGTATACCAGCAGTGAGTAGAAGAGTCTGCTTTAGATCTTGCCTCTTGAAGAGCAGTGGATTCTGGTATAAAATAGAGGAATGACATCTTTATTTATTTTGGCTGTACAGAATACTTGCATGCGTGGATTTACCTGAAGCCTCACCTTCCTGAGACTACATGTATATGCATCTTTTGTGCTAGCAATCCTAACACTGCCACAAGTCCTGCAAACCCACTGGTTTCTGATCTTCCAGAAGCTTTTAATTTTCAGGTGGCTCTCTTGTCAGGGCATAAAACCATGCCTGTAGGGGCTGTTAATTGCAACTGAGACTGGAGCCCCTGTTTGGAAGTCTGTTGGATAAATTTGGAGTCGTGAGGAAGGGGTACTGGTAGTGAAGGTCACCAAGAAGCGCAATGTCTATAGAGCCTTTAAAGAAGCAGAGTGAGTGCAAGAGTCTCACTTCTCACAACAGCAGAGCTCTTTGCAGGATACTGTCAGATATTTTAGACCCAGCAGAATCTGCTGTATGACTTTCACGATCTCAGAATTTTCAGCTCTTTGCAGGAGACCGTATTGTGTCCACTGGGCAGCTTCCAGATAGGAACTGGCTCATACCAACCTGGCACTGCTCCCATTAGATTCAGTCAAGGTGATTTATAAGATAGCCTGGTCTTGTTTAGGCAATAACTCCTTTGGCATTTACATAGCCCAGTACATATCCCTTGATAATGAATTATTTTGAGGAAAAAAATGCAAAGCAGGCTAGAGGAAGGGGAAAACAGAATCTTAAATAAAACTTTGGGATACGGATATAAAGCAACTCAGAAGGATACTGAAACTGATGTGAAAATTACTGTGGTGAGAAATGAAGCTAATTCTTGACAAAGCTAAAGAAGTAGTACCTTTAGCTAGCCTTAGGCAGCAGAGATCTGTCTGGAAGAGGGCGTGTTAAGATGTCTCTCCTTACTATTAGACAGCTCTCTGCTGATGTAAAGTAACTCTAGAGAGCCTTAAGACTGCCTGAACTGAAGGGAGAAGACACATTACTTTCTCTCAAAGAGAAAGGTGGTGGGAATGAGATGTGATCAGTTTTGCTGTGACAGAACCGGGGATGATCTTCACAGATCTTCTTTCCAAAGAATATCCGTTTGCTTTCCTTGACGGAGTTGGCTGGCAGAGAAGTGAGGCAGTGTGGAAATAGGACTGCAAAACCTCAGCAGAAGCTGCCTCGTGACCCCGGTGTGATGAAGAAACACCTTTCCTCTAGTGAGAATAACCTTGAGACTCCAAGATTCTTATTTATGAGCTAGGCAACAGTTTAAGAGTGTCACCATCGATGCGTTGTTGGGGGATTAATGACCGTCAGTAAGTCCTTAGGCAAGGGAGCCTAATGGTGTTGAGTGTGATGGGTAGAACTGTCACCTGATCCTTATCTCAGTAGTTACAAGCTAGACATATCATCATCCTAGATGGGTCACTGTCCCTTTCTAGTAGAATTACAGTGTGGTCCTAAGCCCACTAAGAGAAAAGACTACCATTGATTCCAATTCTGTAGTCAACAGCAGTGGCATCTTAATCAGCAGATGTGCTCCTTATTTATTTCCTCAGGCGTTCTGTAGGAGGAATATTTTTTCATACTTTATGAATAAAGAAACATGAATACAGCTCTGGAAAATTGCACTGCAGTTCTTCTTCTGCAGTAGTTCTAGTTTTGAGTTCTCCAAAATGTTAAAAGCAAGTCAGTAGCCATGATCTGTAAAACAAATGGATCAGACTCTGAATTCATGAAGTAGATGTAGATATGGAGAGCACTCTCCTCCAGATCCCAGAGTTTTTGTTTGCTTTTCACAATAGAACTGCCAAGAAATGTTCTGCCATTTACTTTGGTTATTTGCTATTTCCTCTTGCCTTTATAAAAGCAGCATAGGAAAATTAGCACATCAGATATGACTTTTCTGTTTCTTATCCTGTTCCATATTTCTTTTGTACAGAATACTATTCTAGAACTCTCCTGTGTGTTGTACTGTGGTTCATTTCCTCAATCACAAGTCAAACATAAAGTAGCGAGGAGAAATCACTGAAATATTGGTAGAAATTCCTACTTACCACAGTGAATCTAGTTAATTACTATTAGTCATTGTTTCATCCACTTAGTTTAATATCCTGATTTCAGTGTGCTGATGTCACAAGAACCCTCAGTTGATGCAACTTAGCCATGATTATTGTGTTGTAATTTCTCATGCTTCTTAAACTTCCCCAAGGCTTGTGATTTTTTTCATAAGATTTTTCATGATTACCTCTTGTTCTGCTCTGCATCTCCTCTAAGGCTAAATAAATTCAATACTCTGTGAACAGTTATGTTGAGAACAGATAACACTGAGAAGAGGGACCTGGATGTATTCTTCTCAGGCTGTAAGGGCTGTTGCAACGGAGAAAGGTGTGAATTATTCTTCATACCCGTTGTGGGTGGGCTTATGTTTAAAAGAAAGGAAGTTTGAATTTAACATGAAGAAAAACTTTCTATCAATAAGCCTTGTAACCCTGGAAATAGCTTTGACAGTACAAGCTACGTATGTTTACTCACTCAGGTTTTCATGAACTATTTGAGCAAATATCTGAAAGATAATGGATTAGGAAGGGTGGGTCCAACCTTGGAGCCAGAGAGATAGATTAGCTGATATTTTAACATCCCTTCAATCCCATTGTCTACAGTTTTACAGCCCAGGTTTTGTAGGTGTTTCTCTTCCTTTGGCTTTTGCACCAGTTATTGCCAACTGGAAGGTGGATAAGCAAAAGGAGTTTGATTTCAAAGAAGCCAGAGCTGAATGTTTGATTTATGTGATGTCTGCATGGAAATGCAGCAGTGAACTTTGTTGTTCTCCTTTATTTGTAATATTATGTCTGCTTCCTGTTGCAGACAATAGGAGTAATAAAATAACCATCTTAAAATAGACAGAGTAGTGATCTAGAATTAATACATGAAATCCAAAGTTGCTCCTTACAGAATCTCAGTAACCAAATGCTGCATTTGAGCTAGTCATAATGTGATAGCTTCCTCCAAGCAGGACAGTACAGCTTTCAAGTTTCCCATGGTCTGTGACCAATTGATGACACAGTTTTCTTTCCACAGAAGTTCAGACATGAAAACACTAATCAACTGCACTGAAAAATCAACTCCTTTGAGCTAGACAGAAATAGGTTTTTTGGTATTACTTTGAGACAGTAATACTGGAGAAGAACAAGGCTATGGAAAAAGGTTTCTGCCGAATTACTTCTGAGTTTCCTGTTACAAACTGGAATGCTGAGATGGGCTGTTGTTATGACATCTGTGTTGAACCTCAACTTTTTCTAGGTGAAATCCAGAAATCTCTCCCCGTTATGACTGCCTTTTTTTTTTTTTTTTTCCCCCTCAATGTCTAGGATGTTTTCTGTTTGCAAACTAATTGATTTTATAGACAAGTCAAGTGGTGGCTGCTTGGCTCTTGTACAATTAGGCTCCACCCCTTCTGGCAGCACAGGTGAATTGCCTTCACCTGTGCTCCTGTGGCTGACTCATTGCTCGCCTCGGGTGATCAATCAGAGGTTCAGGCCGTGATTCAGCAGTTCCCATACAGCTCTCTTTTCTTCTGTCCTCTATTTGGGAAATATGCCATTGGAAACTTCTTTCCACTGGTTTCTTAAGTCAAGCTCCTGATTGTAAAGTTATCCATCCAACAGTTTTGTATAATTATATGCTACAAATATGAATATTCTTTTAAATTTGATGTAATTCTTTTAAATTAATGTGGTCAGTCTTTTGCCTAGCCATGTCATGTAAGTTTTCTACTTGAACAAATGAGAAGAAAAATGGAAGGTTTGACCATATCTTTCCTGTTGAAAGTATTTTCTAAGGCAGATCCTCAAATCAGGCTACAGAGCAGTTCAGAAGTGTTTTTGTTACTGATAAAAGTGGATGTTGTTTTCCTCCAAGACCCCAAAACCACGTTGTATGGCAGCATCTTTATTTCTGGATATGTTTCAAAACTGTTTTTAAGAGGCAGGCATTTTCTATGGTTGTTCTAAGATCAAGCATGTGGGAAAGAAAACTACTCTTTCAATTCAGCATCTTCAAAAGGGAGAACAAGCAGATTGTTGCTTTGGTTGTGCTGGTTCTCAAGAGAAACCAGCGGTATGATTTATTGTTCTGTCTGCAGATCCTTTTCCAAGGAGATAATATAAAGGAAGATGAAGCTTAAGCTCTTCCTTTTGCAGATGTCAGTTACCATAGGGAGTGTCTTGGAGAAGCACTATTAGAAGCCTTTTCTTGTCACCAGTATTCTGCCAAGCTGAGATTATAGTAGTCGCTTACCATCCTTAGCCTCCACAAGAGGATTTACAACCATTAGCCTCTTTCAGTCCTCAG